GCTTCTAGAAGCTTCAGGAAGGTTACACAGAAACTGCTCTCACTATTCCAATATTTTAGGTTTGTTTTGTTACCAAAGATTCAGGGTGTGTGGGGAGGGGGTGGGGTGCGCTCTGCCATGAGGAAGTTCAGCTTAAAGACACGTCCCAGGGGCGTTTCTGGTCCCAAAAGGTGTTTCTGGTCCCCACCTGTCGTTTTGCTCCTCAGCATGGCTTCCTAAAAACGCTGCAGGATTTCTCAGACATGCACGAATGAGTCAGAGCAAGGCTTTGGGCATGTTTTTATGAGAATATAACATTATGACATGATATAAAACTCAAAAAGTTGATTTTACATTATATTGCCCCTTCAAAGGAACACATATCTACAAATGAAAGGATGTTTTTTGCAATTATAGTCATTTTAGTCAAGTCTTGTAAATGACCAGGAGGTGTCTGATAGTGCAGTTAATATTGGGGATGACTAGGCTACTACCACATCAAATCTTGACTCAGTATCCACAAAACTGACTGAGTTGTAACCATTGAGTTTACCTGCAGCTGCTTTGTATCGGTTCTAAATCTGCATCCAACGATTCAAATTAAAAGCATAGAAAAAACATGCCTTTTTTGTTTTGTTTCGTAAACAGCGACTGGTTTGTTAAAAAAATTAATCCAGCTTGACAAAAGCAGCTAATTACCTTTAATTAGAGCTCAGCAGCTCTGCAGGTCTGATTTGGATTAATCTGAACGAACCGTACCTCATAGATGTAATCCAGTATTTCTAAAACTGTCAGGATGCTGGCTCCGATGAATAAGCCCATCTGTCCACCAATGTCACCTGAAAGGAAAACACATGAGCATCTATGGAGAAGCACARTGGACACAATGCCGAGGCTGTTCCCTATTTGCTGCTAATGGTTGTAAAAATTGAACAAGGCCGCTTTGAAAACACCTTGTTCTCTACTTTGGCGAGCCCATTGTGAAGTCATAAACTAGAGAAGAAAAACAGGCAGATTTCTTACCTAACAAACCTGCAACGTCGTACGCTTTCTTCTGTTCGATAGTTTCATAGTTCAAAGCTTCGAAAAAGATATCCAACACCAAGAAGTTGTCTCTAGAAACAACGAAAAAGAAAGTGTAAAAGGCAAAAAAAGTGTTAAACATCTGCTACGCTTTTTTAATTCACCCCAAACACATAATTTCAAGAAACAAATCAAGTCATTTTTATGCTCCTTGGTAACTCGTGACGGGATAACGAGGCCTACGGTGCCTATGAACAGATCTAACGAGCGATTATGAGATAATGAAGTCTTTCAGGGTTTAACTGAGATGAGCGGGAAGAGCACTGACAGCACGCTCCGTCACTCACGTCTCAAATCTCTCTGGAATTTCTAAAATCTGGTCCTAATAAATGTTGTGAGCCATCATATGCTCTATGGTTTAGCCATGCTTACTCTCCACCACATTCCTGTGATTAGAGCGGGATTACAGACTGAATTTATCGACAGTATTGGCAGGGGCTTCATAAAACACATTGTAGACGTACATGAAAATCTGAAAACTTGGTCGCTCCTTCAGTGGGAATGATGTTTCAGAAGCTGTCGTATCAGACAGAAGATAATCACATTAAGAACAGCAATTTATTTCTTGTTTGATTACACCTTGAAGTAAACATTTACCTCTGTTAGATTCAATTTAAAAGATGCGGTCCCACTAATCAACATCCAATTAAGAGAGTAAACAYTAATTGATGCTTGTGTAAAGAAATGTTTTTTGTTTTTTTGATATATTTATAGTTCCTCGTTAAAAATTGGAGGTCACACTTTCCAGAGCAATGCGTCGCCGCTCAGAGGAGCTGCTGCCRTACCTGATGTAGTCCTCTGACTTGTCGTATTTCCTGGAGAGATATCGAGCCGATCCCTTGCTGGGGATTTTGACCATGGAGAGCTCTTTACCGTAGCGGGTGAGATTACAGGGCGTCTCGCATGGACAGGTGTCCCCGCTGTTCTTCTGAAGCTGTGCTGCAAACACAAAGGAGACGGGGCCTTTTACGAAAACAGAGTCAAGTTAAATACTGATTTTTTTTGTTTTGTGCTTAAAAAAATGGCTAAATTATTTTTAAACCCTTTTATTGGCATGGCAGTGGAATATGGCCAAGGAACAAGGGGGGAAACTGTATTTTTGGATTCAAAGAATCCTTGTTTACACTTAAAATCAGTAGTGGGCACTGTTCCCCTAAAGCACTAAAGCACTAAAGCACTAATAGGGGAACTAATTTACTGATTAATTCTTTAGGGCTTTTGCAAATTTAAAATTTGTTAGTAGGTTAGCACTTGCTAAATTTATGAGCTAAATTTAGAAGCACTAACTGAGGTCTATAAATGTTAATGATCAACGTTAACATTAACAGCTGAGGGTGAAAGCTGTCACGTTTTGTTCATATGTGCCACTTTATCCACCTGGTGAGAATATATTGATAATATGAACCCAAATACGGCTGTGGAATGTCAATAATAAGTCTTAAKAGAGCAACATGACAATATGTGACTCATGTTGTCTGTTGAAGAATGTTCATGGGTTGATTGGGTTATTTTAGTGCTTTAGAATTAGCTTTTACTAAAACTTTAAGTGCATTAGTGCTTTAGAATTAGGGGACCTAAATATTTGTGTYAGTGTTTTAGGGCTAGTGGAACAAAATTTTTAGATTAGTGCTGCCCACCACTGCTTAAAATAGCMCAAAAGTAAGGAAATTAGTATTTGTTAGATTATTTCTTTGTTGTAACAGTGCTTCTTGGTAATACATTTTATGTTTGGCAGCTGATTGGCACCTGGGATACCAWAATCTCAAAACAAGGGTCAATAGCAACAGAAAAACAAGCTGTTTGGCAGATGAATTTTTTGTGTGCAACTCACATCCTCGGCTCTACTGCTCATCCCACAAATGTATGTTCCTTAAAAATGTGGCACCAATAATTATTAAGAAATGGACCGGCTTTCCAACAATATACCGTAACATCTATTGCAAAGAAGTGTTACAAGAAAGAAATATTCAATCAAACACATATTTCCTCACTTTTTGTGGTAAGCATTGGTACTTTTTAAATTTCTGCCATGACACTGTTTGAACTGGTACATTTTCATTTTTATGTAACAGGTTCAATTTTGTCTTTAAATCTTACTTCTACAACACAAAACTCTCAACAACCAAGCTCCGTCTTCTTATTGTTCCATATTTTTCCCAACAGAGCACTTTGCTCTAAAGATGCAGGTTTACTTGGGATCCCTAACAGCAGACATTTTAGTAATCAGGCTCTTCTCTCGTGGAATCAAACCTCCAGTTTCTGTTGGTGAGGCTGATTTTAAGACTAGGATTAAGACTTTCCTTTTTRATAAATCCTWTAGCGAGTATTTCCTGAGCTATTAGTTCTGCCACYATAGAGACYGCTGGAGGAAAAACTGACCACATCYCCKCACTCTGCTGCTGTTTTTAATCGCTCCACAGTTTGTGTTTGTAATTGTTGCTGCTCGTGYGTCTCTCCTCTGTCCTCTCTAGCACCAGCCGGTCGAGACAGATGGCTGCCCATCCTGAACCTGGTTCTGGATCTGCTGGAGGCTTCTCACTACGACGATGTGAAGACTCAAACACAATCTGCTGGCTTCCTTTGACATAGAACTTCTGCTAATTGGCATTTTATAATATTTTGTATGTAAATTTATCACAATAGGAATTGAAATGGTTTATAATCCAAGTCAGTTTTGGCCTTTTTTATTTTTTGACATTGCTTCATTAGAATATTATTGTTATGATGCTAAATAAATAARCTGAATTTGACACAAATCACTTATTGATCCACCAGCGATCCATTTGAATAAAGTTAATTTTATAAAGTTATATAAAGCAGGCAGCAGGGAGGCGTTTACAATGATCACGTGACAAAAATAGCTGTTTGAATAAATGATTATGCAAAGAGGTGCTGAAGACTTTTACCTTTTATTCAATTAGCATGCAGGGATAAAGCGACAACCAGATCCATATTTATGATCTAAACTCTAAAACAACACAACATTCTCTAAACGGCTTCTCTGTCTTTTTAAAATTCTGAATACATTCAATCCAGACAAAAAATAACGAAGAAGAAAAAAGTCCAGAGGAAGCACTGAAAGCAGTAATTATGATTTAATGATTTAGGTATTTTTCAGCTCTAACAATAAGGTTATTTGTATGCAGCAGCATGACGGCGTACGAAAGTCTGATGCAGGAACAAAGCTCTTCTGCATTATAAATACAGAAATTATTCTTTAATGTATTACTATGATAGAAGGGGGATCTTTTGGCTCGGTTTGATTCAGGATGATGACCCACATGAATGTGGCCCATTCTTGTAAAATATATCTAAGATCTTCATTCAGCCACATTTCAAACAGGGCCTGGATTCAGAGAAAAGGGACATAATTAAATTTCTGGCTTATTTGGCTGAGAGATGATAATTGCGCTGCCAAGTCAATAAAATGGACCTTTTTATTGGGATTTCTTTGAAACCAAGGTTCAGTTATTACATTTGCAGGAAGAGAGGAGGGTCGGGGGCGGAGGGAGAGGAGGGGGTGCAGATATGCAAGAATGAAGCTTTATTTTGAACATTAAAAGCAGCCGAGTCATCAAACTCCAAAGCGACTAAATCACAATTTCTGAAAAAAATTTTTTCCAAAATATCTAGTCTACAGGTATTTGTGCAACCAGAACAAAATAAAATAAAATAAATGAAAAACAAAACAAAAAAAATCATTGTCATATTTCCTGATTGTGTTTCCATTTCCGCCTCAGGGGAGACTATTGTAATGGGAAAAGAAATGAAGGAAGATTGTTTCTTACCGAGYGCTTTGTCAACACAGCTGATTTTACTGGGAGGGCAGATAGCTGCAGTTCCTGTAAAATAAGAAAGAAGAGCAGGAAATGACTCTGATCAATCAGAAACCAAATGATCAGTGACCCGTGTCGGCTGCCACCAGGAAGCGTGGCTGTGAACAACAACGCCACGGCTTGTCATTCGTCTCCCAATGAAGGCAGGCGCGCCGAGGACGACTTCCATCCACATAAAACTGCACCTCGTCTCGGACGTCTCGGGCCCCTGATTGCTCTGAGAAATGGAGCGTGCTGGCTCCGCCCGTCAGGCATATTTAGAAAGTCTTTAAAAACCAATCAATGAGGCGCTAACTTGCAGACAAACATACAGCCGGGGTCATTAATGACAGGTATTCATCAGCAACTCAATTAATTTGCATCGGTGTGCTCGCTTGTCTGTGGAACATTCATGAGGTTGATGTTCCTTTTTTGTTTTGTTTGATTTTCATTCCCCCGGCCTAAAGATAATTTATGAAATGCTCAAATAAATGAAAGGACTTAGATTCCTCACAGAAATGCATGATCTCGTCCAGTTTTGTGAGATTTAGGAACCAAAAGCTGATGTTGAGGATGACTTTCAGCTACTACCACAGCAAATGTTGGCCCAATAGCTGTAAGTTTCACCGAGTCATGTCCATTTATGTGTTGTATATGTGATATTTGCATCCTTGATTGTTAAACTATTTGCCTGTGATTGCTGCACACCCATCATTTTCAGATTCTTTACAGTTTTACATCGTTTGAACAGACAGCTTGATGCCTCCGCAGCATTGATCATCATGTTTAGTAATTAGGACAAGTAAAGCTCCTCTCTAACCCTTAACCAACCTCCCAAACAAGATAAAACCACACCAATCAACCCTAAACTCAACACTTACTGCGGTTTACAGAAACATACCGGTGTTCATTCAAAACGTGTGGGTGCGTTGGAGTCCCTAAAAACTCACAAGACTAAACCTCACTTAAAATATACATCAAAAGGTACACTATTCCTTATCTAAACCTAAAGATAMGTATTATGTTTGGTGGAAATAGTGAATCCAAAATACGCTAGAAAAACTTGAAGAAACAAATATGGCGTGAGAAGCAAAATGCATGGACGAAATACAAGCAACAAAATATCAACTAGTGAGGGAGAAATGACAAACGCCTGGGGTGCGAGAAGGATCAGGTGAGAGTGGGTGGGGCAAGAGCTGGAACTGACCAAGGAGAAACACAAAGATCCTAAATCCCTTTCTGTATTCTTTTCTTCTTTAAAGTCAAACAATTGGAATTTTAGTGAGGATTTTCTTTTTTTACCTGATTTGGTGGACTGCGGTTAAATGTATCTCTAAGATATAATAAATGAAATGCGTGTTGATAGAGATTCAGGCTTAATAAACGAACACTAAAGATGTGTCTTTCTAAATTTAATCCATCCATCCATCCATCCATCCATGCCCGCTTCTTCCTTTCAAGGTCACGAGGTCACTGGTTCCCATAACTAGCAGTCATGAGGGGCGGGGTACATCCTGGACAGGTTACAAGTCCATCACAGGGACACATGGAGACAAACAAGACAAACAACCATTCGTTTGTTCGTTCGTTCGTTTGAATGAAGGAAGGAAGGAAGGAACAAACAAACAACCGTTTGTTCGTTCGTTCATTCGTTCGAATGAAGGAACGAACGAACAAACAAACAAACGAAGGAATGAAGGAACAAACAATGGAAGCAACGAAGGAAGGAACGGACGAAGGCATGAAGGAACGAAGGAATGAACGAAGGAAGCAACAAAGGAAGGAACGAACGAAGGAATGGACGAAGAAATGAACGAAGGAACGTTYGTTCGTTAGTTCATTTGTTCGAATGAAGGAAGGAACGAACAAACGAACAAATGAACAAACAAACGAACAAACAAACGAACGAACGAAGGAACGAATGAAGGAAGCAACAAAGAAAGGAACGAACGAAGGAACGGACCAAGAAATGAACGAAGGAACGTTCGTTCGTACGTTCGCTCGCTCGTTCGCTCGCTCGTTCGTTCGTTTGTTCACTCGCTCACTCACTCCAAGGGACAATTTGGACAGTTTAGAGTTATCAATTAACCTAACATTCATGTTTTCGGTGTGTGGGAGGAAGCCAGAGTACCCGGATAAAACCCACACATGCTAAATTTAAYCTTCTCTCTTTATCTGTTACATTAGATATGTTCTAAATGCTATTTAAAACACAATTTGGAAGAGGCAATTTGTTATAAACCATTTCTTCAAAGAATATTGACAGAATTTGGCCTTTGGCTTGGACTAAGCTTTGAATTTTGACCCCTTGTGTAACTGATATAGACACCCCTGCTTTACAGTATATTATTTGATTCACACACACACACACACACACACACACACACACACACACACAC